AATAATGATGCAACCACATTAAACTAATTATTACACAAAACGAAAGTTTTCGTTATTACATAACGATCAAATATTATAAATTTAAATAATAATAAAAAATAACCATTTTATTTATGAAAATAAGATCTAACTTTGATAACCACATCTGAACATGTCTTATGAAATATCAAATAGGATACAGCTATTGTGAAAAATAGAAGGGCATGTGATTGTGTGAATTTACTTGGTTTGCAGAGTAAATTATGGGCTTTATTTGTATTCTTTTACCACTAAAGTATAGTTTTTATTATCCTATTTTTTGTTTAATTATCCTATTTCTTGGATATTGGAAACAAATGGATCTGAATAGCATGGAACAGCTGTTATCTAATTTTCAATTTAAACAATTAACTAATATTAGAAACATAAAAGATCGTTTGGTAAAATATATAAAATGGTCTTATACAACGCGATTTAAATTAATCGGACCAATGGTTATATATATACCAATAAAAATAGAAAGAGATACACTATTAAATAGTGTAGGGATAAAAGATCCTCCATAAAGTTTGATATCGTAACAACAATTTCGATCAAAGTTAGAATATTTTTCAGACCCTTTTCCCATGATTATACATACTAATAGATCATTGATAAATATTTACCAACACTCGATATATATATATATATACCATACTAAAAATCTTAAAATATTTAGCTTCGCATATAATTTAAAAGGTATTAAATTCAATTCGATTACTAACTACTAAGATAAAATTATATGATTTAATGTAAACATTTACCTCTAGACTATGGAAGCATATCTCAACCCAATAATTAAGTGGCTATACAAAATAGCATATCTTTTTTTGTTGTACCAATAAAACATATCTTAATAACATATTAAGTTAATCAACATATCTTTATGTGACATATCTCAACTTAATATGACATAGGTCCAATTGTCCAAACACTTTGAAACATGAAAATAATTTGAGCATAAAATAATGCATATATTATTGAAATATAATTAATAGTTTTTTCAATAATTCTAGTTCTAGGATTCTAATTGTTGGGACCTTTGTAATTCTCAATTATCAAGATGGATGCATAGAGGTTTATGGAGGCTTCACTGGAAATCATGTGCCAGAAATAATCAATACATCATAGTTTTAATATTTTTTTCAACTAACAATGACTAATAATTCATAAAATATTTCAAGATTTGTCCAATTAATTTCTAATGGTATATATAGGACAATCTCAATTAATTTGAGATCAAGGCATAATTATTGCTGTTGTTTAATCAATAAGAAGTATGGCAATTAATATGAGTTGTGCTTGCATTTAATGGCGGAGGAGAAATTTCGACTAAGTGGTGTCAAAATATACAGAAGTAAAATCGCATAAAAGCTAAGTAGTGTCAGTATGTATGTTAAAAAAATATTTCAATCTAGCTACATAATGTAATTTCTTAACGATGGTGTCAAAATATACAGAAGTAAAATCGCATAAAAGCTAAGTAGTGTCAGTATGTACATTAAAAAAGTATTTCAATCTAGTTATATAATATAATTTTTTGACGAAGAATATCAATTCTCAAATATGTGTGGCTCCGCCACGGGTTACATTTGGATGATTGAGATATCTTCACTTTTAATTAAAAATCTTAAGTTCAACCTCTAGAATTGAAAAAAGATCATGTTAAAAGCTTCCCAAATTTAATTAAATTCTAATAAATATAACGAAATCTAGTGGAAAAATAATTTTTTTTAAAAAAACAAGAAATATGTCTTATATACTCGGGAAAGAGTTTTGTTGCTTAGTCCTCTGACATTTATATATAATTTTCTTGGACGAGATCAATTTTAACCTCATAGTAAAAGGATATGTTTGAAAATTGTGAATTATCAATGAAGCTTCTAAATAATACTCCAATCTAATCTTCAATTAAAGAATGCAATATAATTTATCGAAGTAACGCATATAATCCAGATCGTTATAGTAATTCATAAATTTTAAGTTGTGAATGTAATTGTAATTAGCTAGTGATATTAATCATTATAGATGCAACGAGGTGTGCGTAAGCTCTGGTGGAAGTCATGTGTCAAAAATAATTGACCACACATTCATAATTACAATTCAACTAACCTGACCAACTATTCAAAATTTGCCCAATTAACCTAAATTATTTGAATTTTAGGTATAACTTATTTAAAGGATAATGAACATTCATATATAATTGATTTCAACTTATTTGAAATTAAGAATGTAATTATATTTTTATCTTGTCAATAAAAATATGATCAACATGAGTTTAGCCTTTAATTGCTTATACAGTATTTGACTAAGCTTATAAGATAGTCAAAACTAATTTATCGAGTGTTAATTAGAAAGACAAATATATTTTATGAATAATTAAAATGGATCAATGTTCGTTTTGGATGAAATTATAATGTTTGGTCAAAATTATATTTTTTTGGCACATGACTCTGACATTGTTACATATTAAAAATTTGTTATGCTAATATATCCATGCATTATTTTTCATGTAGTTTTGGACCTATGTCGTATTAAGCACCGTCATGAATTATTTTGTACCAAATGTTTGGTATAATCATTTATTGCTGGTTGAGATGCTTCCATAAATGGTTTGCATGGTGAGTTCAACCTATTTATTTTAAGTCATGTAAAATAAAATTTCAAAAAATACTTATAAAATAATCTCACTTGAAATTTAGTTATATGTTTTTCTATTATTGTTATTGTTCGAATTAATTTTAACGTATATCAATCATTTCATTTAGTACTTGTTATTTTCTATCAGCATAAGTATCGAATATTTCTATCTAACAAAACTTAAGCAAATGAAAAACAAACCTTTTTTGAATCTGAACAAAAATCTTCATAATTCTCTTTACTTCATTAAATATTAGATCACCCTTTGAATTATCGGTTACAATTACAAATAAGTAATCGCACCAAGAATGCTGGTAACTATTCTCCGTTTTAGAGCTAGGTCTGAACAAATTTATTTTTCAGACTACGACATATCGAATCTCAATGATATACATATCATATAAATTGAAATTTTGCCTGACACCTCATCTTTAGAAGTCTGTCAGTTCTACTTGATCTGTTCTTATTAGCTCGCCCTTCCGTCAAGGGCATCACAAGTACATTTTCAAAAAAAAAAAAAAAAAAAAGAACCCCACACGCATAGAATAATTCTTGTATGTATCCAATGAATTTAAATAAACTAAGGTTTTCCAGCTCATAGCTAGCCCTTTGCCCATATTTCTCTCATTAAAAAAAAGGATCCTTCCTATTATATTTTACTTCACATTGCACCTATAAAAAGACAACATTTAACCAAACCAATAACATCAAAATTTTACATTATTTCTTTAACAATTTCATCATCTTAGAAGATCATGTCTTCTAAATTTTCATCAACATTGCTTCTTCTTATTTCAATACTAATGAGTATCCAATTACTAGCCTCAGCTGGTAATTTCTATAGAGATGTAGACATAACTTGGGGCGAAGGACGCGGTAAAATACAAGAAGGCGGTAGAGGCCTTGCCCTATCGCTTGATAAACTTTCTGGCTCTGGCTTTCAATCCAAAAATGAGTACCTTTTTGGAAGATTCGATATGCAACTTAAACTCGTCCCTAAAAACTCTGCTGGCACTGTAACAACTTTCTTCGTAAGTCTTAAGGCCTCTTATTATAATTTGAACTTCATTATTCTTATTATAACATGCCATCCTATTGCTCATGATGGATTGTTTCCTCTGTTAGTTATCTTCACAAGGAGAAGGACATGATGAGATCGATTTCGAGTTCTTAGGCAATGTCTCTGGCCAGCCTTACACTATCCATACCAATGTATACACACAAGGAAAAGGAAACAAAGAACAACAATTTCATCTTTGGTTTGATCCAACTGCCGCGTTTCACACTTACACCATCGTCTGGAATCCTCATCGCATAGTGTAAGTTAACACAAAATCACCTCACAAATGTATATATATACTCTGAGTATCAGATCACCTAAAAGATAACAACATGTTAAAATATTTTCTTAAGATGAACTACATTTGATGTTACTAAATTTTTCGATATATATTCAGGTTCTTAGTAGATAACAGTCCAATTAGAGTGTTCAACAACCATGAAAGCATGGGAATTCCATTTCCCAAGAGTCAAGCAATGAAAGTATACTGCAGTTTATGGAATGCAGATGAATGGGCAACCCAAGGAGGCAGAGTGAAAACAGATTGGGCACTTGCACCATTCACTGCTTATTACAGAAACATTAACATTGATGGTTGTGCAGTATCATCAGGTAACCTCTTCATGTAAGTCCATCGGTTCAATAAACAACGCGAAGCCATGGCAAACACATGAACTTGATGGTAAGGGACGGAATAGACTACGATGGGTGCAGACCAAACACATGGTTTACAATTACTGTGCTGATTCTAAGAGGTTTCCACAAGGCTTTTCTGCTGAATGCAAGAGTTCAAGATTTTAATGAATCAAATAAGTAGAATTCTTTATTCTTTTGTAAGAGGTTTTTGTTGGCTACTTATTTTGTTGCTGAATTTGTATTATTTATCTATATGTAATGGAATGTGGTAAGGTTTACTTTCTTTTGTTAACTATGTTGTATGATAAAATATTGGTCTTTGATGTCTTATAATATGGAGTCACAAATACAAGTTATAAGTTAGTTTTTACAGAAACTTTTGCCTAGCAAACAGAATGACCTAGTTTGACTTGACACAGAGTTTAAACAGTTCGTATCAACAAAAAAATATATAGCAAAGGACCTATTAGTACATTTGGGTAGCATCATCTTTTATTTCATATTAAACTTTGTTACAACATTCAAATGGAAATACTATATGGTACACCTTTTCCAGTAACACCAGGTTCAGAAAATGGTTTTAATAATTCATAAGGCATAACACCAGCTCCATTCCTATTCATCAACTTACTATCAACATTTCTAGCATCAATAATCCCTTCAAGTTCCTTCAATTTCTCCGAAAATACTTCAAACGCCGCGTTAATTACAGGATCCTCAGCCCAATAAGGCTCAATTTTGTCACCAATATATTCTTCATCTGGAGCATGATTAGATAAAACATCCATAATTGCTGTTATTTTTGTTGCTTGAAGTTGTGAAGGTAAGCATTTTATCAATGCCTCCTCAGGTTTATTCAAGAAATTTTCCCATTCTTCATTTGTTGGATCTTCAGTTGGCATTTTTGTCCTAGCAATTGTTGGCCTATTTGGAAAGTAATCTACATATAAAATATAACACTTCGTTATCACTACAACAAAAACAGTTTTTAGCAGTACTATATATATACATTAACTAACAAAGAGTGCTAAAATCATTATCGGAATTAGTTAATTGACATTGGATCTAACATCGTTATAGATTTTGTGGACATTTACAAATAGTCATAATTGCATCTAAAAACATATTTAGCAGCAGTTTAGCTATTACCGTTAATCAATTGTCGCTAAAAATTATTTTTGATATAGTGTGTGTATATATATATATGTGTGTGTAGATAACCTACTATAACAAGTTACCATTGTACACAAATATTATAAAAAATCATTTATACGGTCTGTGTGTACAAGTTAAATTGTTTTGAAATGATTTAACTTTATTATATATACTAAAGGTCAGTCTAATGCAAGAAACAATCTCATCTGCACATCCGGGAGGGTCGTAGGGTGTAAATACCTAACCAACTAATCTTGGCACAAAGATCAATGATTGATTTCACAGTTCGAACATGTGACCTCTCTAGGTCTCATGAAGACAATTTTACTGTTGCTAGCTCCGAGACTTCCCTTTATTTCATTTATAATATATATATATATATACCAAGAACAATAAAAAATATTTTTTTTAAAAAGGGTAAGGTGTGTACCTGCATAAATGTATTGGCCAAAGTTAACTGCTGCATGGTGGCCAGAAGTTACCCAAATCATTGTAGTTATAATACCAATTAAGTCATTTGGGGTTTTTAACTCTGGCCACCATGGTTCATTTTTTTTGTCACCATGGCCAACATTTTTTATCTCTGACCACCAAGCTTGAATCTCTATATCAGATTCAATTAGATTTATTTGTGGATAATAATGGTTGACATAATTTGTTACCCATTGTTTAAGTGTGTCCCAAAGTATTAAACCATCATTTGCAAAAGGGTAATCTTCTATTGTTAGTTTTAATCCATATGGTTCATTTGGATCTTCCACAGCCAATCCCCTGTTATATATGGAACAAAATAACATGTTAGTGAAATGGGGTCGAAGCCACGAGCATAATGTCTGTCCTTTTCGTCAAAAAATTATACTATATATAATTATTATTTTTTATCTGTATAGATTTTTAATTTCCCTGATTGTATAGTACTTATCTACGTACGAAAACAACATGTCTATATTAAAGTAAATGAAACGGTCTAGCCCGCTACTGATATTGTCCACTTTTGACCTAGATCCGCACAATTTTATACATGTCACTAGGGGTAAGGTCTGCTTACTTATATACTCAATAGCTCTCTATAATTTACATTTTTGTGAAGTAGCCAATTAAGACTTGTTATAATGGTTTGCTTGTGAATATCTTATAATTGATTTGATTGTATAAATATTATTTACATTATTAGTGCATAAAATCTATTACTCAAAAATAAATCTTAAGAGAAAAGAATTAGTGACCAATTGACCATAAAAGATTGCAAATGACATGATAAATACCCCTCTATTTTTTATCAAAGATTTTGCATTTGACCCAGTAAATAAAGTTGCTTTTGTTTGGAAGCATTTTACGTTAAAAACAAGATTTTTCAACGCAAATTCAAATTAATTGGACCCCAAAGCAAGGTCAAACACCAGGTGGAAAATAAGACTAGTGATCGATCTCCAAATATTGTGATAGAGTGTTAAGCACGCACTTTAATCTTTAACCACATATCTTGAGTTAAAGTAGCCTATGTTTGAGAGCCCTTTACCCCTAAATCGGGAATTATGACGTGCATTTAAATTAGTCAAATCCTAAAATAGATATCAAACACCGATCGAAAAACAGAAAAATAGAAAGATTAATGAATTAGTACCTGCTAATAAGGTTTTGTGGGAGTGCCTCTTGGTCAAATCTCCATTCAAGATCATAGGCAACAGAACTAAATTCCATTGCATACTTGCCAAGGGAAAATGAAGTCTCAATAATTCCATTTGCATTGATAAGTGCTTCTCTAGCTAAGGAATTTATCTTCATTGTATGTCTAAAATGAGGATGCAATAATCTATATATTGGGTGCATTGCACTAAGTTGTCTATTTGTTGCTATAATATATGGCTCTGTAGCACAATGAGTCCTTAGCCTGCAAAATTTTGGAGAAAAATTAGGCATAATATCATCAAAATCAAAGAATATATGCAATGATTATACTACTCTTTAAGCAATAACGACAACATACTTAATGTGATTCCACATGTGCGGTTTAGAAAAAATAGAGCATTCACAAATTTTATTCCTATCTTACACGATTTCAGAGATGGTCAATTTTATTTTCATATTAGGTATCTTACGTTTTAAGAAGACTTATCTTAAATATCATTTTCTCTGACCTAATCATAGTTTAAAAAAGTTCTTTACGCTAACAAAAACTACATCAAAAATGATCTTTAGCGGCATTAATTAATGGCAATAGTTTAATTACCACTAAATATGTATTTTTAGCAGCAATTAGCACTCTTTGTATATGTCCCTAAAACCTTTAATGACACTGAATCTAATGACACTTAACCAATGCCGTTAAAGACTTTAACACTCTTTAATAATATGTGTATTTATCATCGCTAAAGAATATTTTTGTTCCAATGAAATACTTACCAATGACTGACTAGTTGGTGATAGCCAGAGTCATGAGCAAGAACATGTGTTTTAGCCAATTTCCATAGCCAAGCACCAGTGGCATTCCAAGTACTTGGGAAATATGCTTGCTTCCATTGAGGCTTATTATCTATTGGTGGCCTAGTTAGCTCAATAGCCAAAGGTCTCAATGTGCCTTCATGTGTCAAGAAGAATAAAGTCCTTGATCCATATAATATTGTCTTTTTGAGTTCATTCACTTTGTTCACATATGGCAATAATAAATCATGATAATCTAGGATGAACAACTTCTTTTGTTGAACTGCCTGCATTGATTATGTGTAACTAAAGAGTCAAAATTATTAGAAGGAAGACTTTATAGATCATGTATAATCCAAGGAATATGATATTACTTTATAGTCAAAATTTTAATATGTTTATTAACTATATAAATAGGACCAAAAATTCAAGACCACCCTTATAGATGTCATTCTTGCGAATCGATCACCCTATATAATCATGTATAGTACTGGCTTGTCTGTGGATCATTTGCACGGACAGGCCAGTACGTTGTACATGAAATATAGTCTATTTTAAGCTAATGGGGGGTATTATTTTGAAGAATGACCTCGAGAAAGGTCATTTGTGCAAATAAAATAATCCAATAGATCACATGTCTGACTAAATATATCGTATGTTCACAAATAAAACATAAATAATATATTTTTCTTCCAATTTCAAAAAGGCAAAGGATTTGTTTATACCTCTTCAACAGTCATAGATCCTCCAATTTCAAGTTCAATTAGTTCTTTTGTCATTGCTGATTCAGGGGGTCCATACACCTCAGGGCTTAGCTTGCTCTTTAGTGGCCATTCCTGTATTTTCATAAAGTATATATTTTAGCTCAAAATGCTTCAATTAATTATACATTTATATTTTAACCAAAATGTATGTATATATGTATGTCCTAATTTATAAAAGAGTAATTTCCACATATAGAAAACATAAAAATCATATTTGTATGTTATCACTATACTTTGCGTAATTGCACTCTATAACAAACATAAATATATGTATGTTTCGCTATACATATACAAAGAAAATAGTTGTATAATTTGTTATACATATACAAAGAAACCAGTCGTTTAATTCGTTATACATATACAAAAGAAAGCAATTGTATACAAATGACCAATTGTATAATTTGTGTATGTGTAAAATGAGAAAGTGAGAAAGACAAAAGAAAATTGGATAGGGGAATATTTGTATTGTATAATTATAAGTGTATACGACGAAGATATATGCATTTGCATGTGTATATATAATTTTCTCTCGCTTTATACAAACAGAAAAATAATTTATACATATCGTTTCTGTTTGTATAAGCGAGAGAGGCGAGGGTGACGAGCGAAATATGGGAGAGGGGAGAGAGGGGAACTAAAATATATGTATATATACAATTTTCTCTCGCTTTATATAAATACAAACACATTTTATAAATTTGTGTTTGTATAAAAGCGAGAGAGGCGAGCGACAGAAGGAGAGTGGCAAACGAGAGCTTGAGGGAGAGAAGCGACTGACAAACAGTTTGCTACAGGGCACAATTAAATCAACGTGTGGTTATAGCATTTGATTTGAATTACTAGTTTGTCATTATATACAATTTTCTCTTTATAAAAATGACCTAATTGACCCACCATTTTTCTAAAACAAGATATGAATCCGAAAATGGTCACCAAATATCTGATCGTATGTTTATTTCTTCATAGTTTAAATTTTATTTTTTTTGTGAAAATTCAGACTGTGATATAGGCACTAAATTCTATTGGTACTCATATTCACATTATGTTAGATATTTGTCCTGATTTTCTTATTATTATTCAATTTTTCTTTTCTTCAAAGGAATATATTAATTTAAAGTGAAAAATTAATTAAATTTTTTTAAAAAATCAAAGTAATAACATACCGTGACCAATCGTATACTAAATGGATTAAAACCAGATAAAGTTTGACGAGCAAATTCCACATCTCCTAACCAAGATAACTTGTCCCCTGCCACAACAATAAAAATAACTTTTAACGGCAATAAATAGATACATTAATAAAGAATGCTAAAGTTTTTATCAGCATTAGTTAAGTGACATTTGATTCAATGTCGCTAAAGCTTTTAGTGACACATATAAAGAGTCCTAATTACCGCTAAAATACATATTTAGCAACAACGCTAAAACTCATTTTTTAATGTAGTGTGCCATGAATATAAAAACATAATTTTACAAGAAACTTTACCAAATTAGTTGGAAGATATTGTTGGATTAATTTAATTACATTTTCCACTATTTTTTTTATTCAACCTAGTTTTTATTTTTTACAATTCCACTAAAATAATTCAAGCAGGCTATATTGTTCGGATTCTCCGAAAAAATCATGAAAATTGAAGTAACATAATTTTTATGTACTTACTTTGAAGCAATTGAGGGGTTTCAAATAGGGAGACATTTTTTTGCGTATCAGACATAACCTTAATGAGCATTGGTACAACTTTAAACATGCCATTTTTCTTATTGCCTTGTCTCGATACATCGACACCAACGTTGAATAATGAATCGATAGACGGGGTCTGTGAAAACTCGTGGTCCGAATCGGAAGTAACCGTCTCCAACGCCGGGACGACCGCCTGTAGGACTGAGAAAATAGGGTTGCCGGAGAATGTTAAGCTCTTCACTTCTGAAAATTCTTCATCTCTTGGTACGTATACAAAGTCACTCTTTAATTCAGACAATGGATCTGCATGCATGCATGCACAAAATTGAAAAAATAATTAAAAAATAATATATATATATATTATAAAATTCAATTCGAGTTTAACTTCTAAATACTATAGGCATATTTTATTTTATTTTTTTGCTTAATAAAATAAATAATGTACCTTTATTACTTCTTGATCGACCAGTTCTACACCTTCTAGGATAAGGTAATTGTTTTCCGCCAAGTACTGGTCTTTTATTATCACCATTATCATTATCAGTCGAATCTCCGATATCATTATAAACATCATAGTCATAAATCCTTTCATATTTTTTTCTTTCTCCAAAGCCATCACCTCTTAATGTCACAAGTTCTTTCTCTCTTAACCTTTTTATGCCATTTGGAGTTTGAGATGGTATATATGACTGCAAATCGCATAAAAGGAAATATTAATCGTTGAAAATATAATTAAATAAATAAAAATATAATTATAAGTGGTGGATTTATGGCTATACCTGATGAAGAGCTTCAAACTTACACATTAATCAATTCATCACTTTCAATATGATTCATAATCAACTAAAACAATTTACTACCGAGACGAGATTAATTTATTATAATACATTAAGGGGTCGTTTGGTAGGCCGTATTAGAAGAAATAATTCATGTATTAGGTAAGATATTATTTAGTACTATGTTTGGTAGAAATTTGGACCTATGTATAACCAATTCATGAATTAGTAATACCTCATACATGGTATTATAGGATGTATTACTAATACTTTTCATTGGTAGGTGTTAGTAATATATAGGATATAATAGTATGTGCGTGTGCGCGTGCATTATTTGTATTTTGAAGAATTTAAAACATCTATACATGTTAAAATTAAAACTTGCGATTTTAATGTGTCAATATAGATGGTTTATTCAATTTTACCGTTGTTGACCGTCTTTTTTATTTTAAAAGTAGATAGTTTATCTTTTTAAAATTGAAAAATGACATTTTGTGAGTGATCAATTTATTAAAATAACAATTATTTATCCTCAAATAATTCCAGTGAAAAAATAGCAAACATGATAGCAAAATTGTTTCTCTCATAGCTAGTATCCCTACAATACTAATTGCTACATTAATTACCAATCTTTACATTATTAATTTTTGTACCAAATGACCCCTAAAACATATATTCAATAAATTAATATGGAGATTTTAACCAAAGTAAGTCATTATATAAAGTCATTCACCAAAATAATATGTTTTTCTAAAATTTTACAAAACTAGTATAAACGTATTTCACAGTAAAGTTTTAGGATATATTTTATTTTTTAAAAGTTGATGGCGTTAGATTGATATACGTTACTCACAGAATGTTTTACTCCTAAAACGTTACTCAAAGTAACGTTTTAGGAGTAAAACGTTACTGAATTTCAGTAACGTTTTAAAAGTAAAACGTTACTTACAGTAACGTATATCAACCTAATGCTGTTAGTTTTTAAAAAATAAAATATACCCTAAAACGTTACCGTGAAATACGTTTACACTAGTTTGTAAAATTTTAGAAAAATGTATTACTTTGGTAAATTGTTTTATATAATGACTTAGTTTGGTTAAAAATTTTATGAATGCATGGCTTATAATTTATTCCATTGATATATGTCAAAAAAAAAAATTCTACTTTAGAATTGTCTAAGGGAGTGGGACTGCCTATTAATTATTACCACCCGCCCGTCTCACTATAAGACCTGGATATGGGCCACAAAGGCACACAAATACTTTATTGGAAAACATGATAAATATATCTTTGAACTATAATAAATGGTATATCGATATTTTTCGTCATATTTTTGAAATAGTGGTGTCCCAGTCATTCAAAAACTAAAACATATATATATGTGCTTTTTATACTAACTGACATACACGTGTCATAATCTTATTCGTTAATTCGATATTTATTAAATATCGAATCAACAGATAAGATTGTGTCACTCGTTCCTATTTAGTCTTCCGTTAGATCAGTAAAGGGCATAAATGTTTTAATTTTAATTTTAGAACGACAGGAACACCAATATCCCAAAAGTACGACGGAGGATATCTGCATACCATTTACATCACTCCGAGGTATATTTACCTTCTTCTTCTTCTTTTCCTATTTTAGTCGATAAAAGGCATATTGCTCTAACCAACATGTTGTTATAGGCCAAATTATATTGTATAAAAAATCTTTATATTGAAAGTGACTCAATGCATATAACTTGAATATATTCTTCCTTAGAAAACTATATTTACATTTATTATGAAATCAATTAGTTCTTATTTTGGACAAAGAAATCTTATCTAATAAAAAACTTTAATTATATTATAGCTCCAATTATTTAATTAGGTTAAAAAAAGCATAGGGGGATTTTTGCAAACCTTGTTGGTGAAGAAAATCCTTTTCTCAAATTTTGTATGGACCCAAGAGTTGCAAGTAATTGTAATTTTGCCATCAATTACTATATTCTTCACATACATTTCCTTGTGCTCATTTTCTACTAAAATTGCACCAACGTCCCCAAAGTCTTTAGGAAATACAAAATTTGCTTCATAATGTGTCTCACCATCCACATCTCGTCCACGATTAGCAAATATCCTTATACTTGGCTTCTCAATTCCAGTCACTTTGAAGAGAAAAAAAATATAGAAAGAACAAAATAATTAATAATAATATTAATACTTTCAAAAAATACTTTTAAATAAAATTGAAGAAATAAGAGGGAGAAATTAGCATAAAAGAGAAAAATACTTTGATGAATTATAAAGCAAGGTACTTGACTAGTGCATGCCGACAATAGTACAATTATGGTGCAATAATTATTTTTAAGACGCAACTCCCTCCGTTTAAAAAAGTATGATCTAGTTTGATTTAAAATAGAGTTTAAAAAAATAAATTAATTTTGTGGTTCTAAATTAAAGTTATGTCAAATGTATCAAAATATCCTTAAATCTTGTGGTCTTAAAACATTGTCACGTAGAAAGTTAAAGTTTTGCAAAAAAAAAAGAGATCGTTCTTTATTAAACAAACTAAAAAGGAAATAAAAACATTCTTTTTGAAACAGAGGAAGTATTTTTTTAAATTTCATATTCGATTAAAACAAGTTCACTTAAAACAAAATTAACCTAATAGTGTATAATTTATTTATCATTCAAACAACTCTTTGTGACAAAAGACTCTTTGTGACAAAAGAAATTCTTTTTAGATATATTATTATGTTTTAAATAAATTGATATATTTTTATGTTTTGAAATATTTAATTTTATGTTCATTAAAAATGGCCATGAACAACTTTTGTATCTTAAAAACAATTTTTTGGAATGATTTATTATTAACTATATGTTTGGGGTTTGAGCTCTGGGTATAAAGAAATTTTCGTTGAGAGTGTTATTCCCGAATAGATCATGTAGTGTGCAATTTAAATTTTAGTCAAAGCTTCAATATAAACTCCGGACACCAGATGAAAAAATAAATAAATATTGTATTCCTAATCTGAAGTATTGATGGATTACTTAAAAATAAATAAAAATTACGAGCAATACGAATGTGTAGCTTATTCTTAATCTTTATTGTGTTCTATATTTTCCCCTTAATATATAATATTATGACATTCTTAAAATTACATTTTCACAAAGTCTTTTTTTTTTTAAAACACTAAAAACACTAATAAAGAGTGCTAAAGTCTTTATCAACATTAGTTAAATATCATTAGAACCAATATCGCTAAAATTTTTAGAAACAAATACAAAAAATGCTAATTACCGCTTCTTAATTGCCGCTATTGATGTAGTGATTACATAAATAGACACCTAAAGTGACCCCAATTTGACACCCAAAGTGACCCCAATTTGACTGGCAAGTAAGTCCTTCAACATGGTTAGTCAACTGACAACTAAATAATTCAACTAGCTCTCTCGATGTTAAAGTAATACGTAAATTTTTATATGATATTTTGTTATAAGTTGATGTATTCAACTGACATAGTAAAGACAAGTTTGAGGTGTCTATATATGCATACTCAAAATTAAAATGTCTGCTTGTCACAAGATCAAGCATGAGTAAATGAATACTTACTAGGATCAAGTTCAGCAGCAACAATCCACAATAAGAGTGATTTACCAAGCAAATCATCAAGTCCTCTTGATAAACCTAAATTAGTTCCTCCAACTGATTTTTGAACTTTCACCACTACTTTAACACCCATGGATTTTTTTGTAGAACCAAGGACAGCTTTAGTGCTCTTTGCAACATTATAATGAACTATAAAATTGTTGTTCTTCTTATTTTTCCTATGATTTTTACTTAAAATGTTGATAGGAAAAAAGTCTAAGATTTCTCTTGAAAAATCAAATGGCTTAGTACTCCATGGAATCAGAGATTTTGTAGATTGTTGAAGATGAGATTTCAACATTTTTTTCTCTCTTCTTTGTCTCAAGAAGATATATGGGTTGGTTTGTATTATGGTCTCTAAGGCATTATCTTTATATAGATGATGAAGTTTTGCTAAAAGAACTATGGTTGTTGTTGTTTTGGTTGTATTTGTCCTGTAAAACTCTAGAATGGATATTACAATAGGTTCAAATGGACGGGTAGGGGTTAAAATGAACGAATTAAAATAGCTTGAGTTAATAAATGAAAAAACCATTTTAATTACATGAATATTTGACTATATTTACTAATTTTTCTTATAGTTTAAAATAAATATATATTATCGCATTAATTAATAAATTGATACTAAATTTCTAGTCAAATACACCTAGATACATATATTTTTGTTACCAGATATAAAGCGAGATAGTAGGAAAGCGAGCGAAATAGAAAGGAGTCAAACAAGAGAGTCAGTATATCCTAGATATATATGAACACTACATGTATCTAAGGTATCATAATACATTTTGAAATATAGATGCATAGAGAGAAGAGCGTGACAAACAGAGAAATGAGTGAGATAGGAGAGAGACTCATTATGTCTCAGATACATATGAATGATGTATCTTTTTGTGAGTTCTTGAAAATATTATTCGTATCAGTTACATGTGGTAAAAATTAGGTGTAACTTGTTTCAGATACATATGAATCCACCTGGATACAATGTATATGAAACAAGTTATATCTAATTTTTACCATATGTAACTGACACAAATAATATTTTCAAGAACTCACAAAAAGATACATCATTAGGCTCTAAAATTAGTGAAATTTGTGATGTTTGGCCTTAATAAATAGATGGATCAAATCAAATAGGTGGAGTAAATAAGTAAATAAATAGATGTAAAAAATTACTAGAGTTGAAACAAAATCTATATGAATCGAAATGTAATAAATAATGTGTAATTAGTTCAAAATGTAATTCACGAAAAACTAGTTCAACTGAAATGGGCTAAATAATAAATTTATAACTCAGTTGTTGAACTCCTTGATTTTAATTTCCTTGTTTGACTTCTCATAATTTATTTTTTATACATAATAAAATTTATTTTTCATTATTATGATTATGCATACCATATTGTAATTTTTTTAAAAAAATTGACGATTTTTCTCCATGAATTAATTGAGGCTATATATCCACTCAATTATGTTGGTCAAGATGCACCGATTTTATAAATATGACTTGAACAAATTAGATGAATCCTATTTTCAAAGTAAAAAAACCGAAAATAAAAATTATTTATGATCTGTTAAAAAAATAAAATTTAGTCTTTTTTAAAAAAATTATGTGTAATTTTTTCAAAAATGATTACCTAACTAAGAATAATTTGATTGAAAGGAAAGTTTAGAGTTTAGAGTTTTATTCATGCTACCTGACATTTTTCTAAAAAATGATTATGTAATTAAAGATAATTTGATTGAAAAGAAAGTTATGAACCCAAACTCGAAATTATTTATGATATGTATGTTGGATAATGTTATTATTCATATTATTAAAAAGTAGAATTTGGATTACTTTTTCATTCTACGAGTAATTTTTTTTTTATGATTATATAACTAAAAATGATTTGATTGAAAAGAAAAATATGAGTGAAACCATCAAAATGGCCTCAACCCATGTGGTTGACACAATTCGTTATTTGGTATAGGATTTTTCAAGTCCATTTGAAGGTAAGGTTTATAAGTTCTGTCCATATAAGCCAGTGACCCTTGAAGCTTGATCGAGACTAGACAGGGTCTGTTCATGCGCTAAAACTTTTTATTTATATTAACGGTAACTTACAGTAATCTCACTTGTATATAATCTAATTACTTAAATCACGATATGTTGTAATATTATGAATTTTACCATATTTTAATACGTCCAGATACATGTATCGCGAAACACATGGACTCAAAGTTAGGTTAACTTGTTCTAGATACAAATGATCAAAGCAGATACTCTTGTATCTACGGTACTAGATAAATTTTGCGCTCTCGCCTCCCTCCCATCTTGTTTGTCACTCTCTAATCTCGCTTGCATATCTGGTATGCGAGGTACATGTTAATTACTCTATATTTTTTGTTAGTGTTATTGAAACAACACGATCTTTTGTTATATTTGAAAATCTTCTCAGTTTCTTAATATTATAGAATTATAAGTTTGGAAAAAAGAAAGGACTAGTCCACCCCACCCTCCACCCCTCGACCCTTCTAAGGTTAAATTGGAGTGAGCATTTTCGTGTTCTTCTAAATGAAGGAGTGATCCGCCCTAGCCCTTCAAATTTTTTGGCCTACAAGGTTTGGGCCTGGTCTGCTCTTTTTGATAGCTCTAGCTATGAGTCCGACTGAAATTATTTATCATCTATTGAATAAAGTTACTATTCTTTTTGTTAAAAAATAAAATTTAGAGTTTTCCAAAAAAAATATTTGGTAAGTAGTAACTAAGAATAATTTCCAAAAAATGATTAGTTAAATGGTAACTAAAAATAATTTGATTGAAAAGAAAGCAATGAATATTTAAACGTATCCTTTTTGGATATATCGCTATCCACTTTTGAATACATCCATAATCCCTAATTGGATACATTTCTATTCTTTTTCAAATACATTCATATTTCCCCTCAAATACAATCTTATCACTTCTTTGATACATCTCTTCCATCTAGGTCATTAAATACATCCATCTAGTAATGTATCCAAAAAAAGAAAAAATCAAAATTTTTATAGTTAAATTCTTTCAAAATAAAATAATTAGCCCCTAAATATATGAGATTGATATAAATTTCGTTAATCGTAAGGGGCACCCCATAAATTTATAATAGACAAACTTCGATTGATTGTGGAAGGACTTATCTTTGGGGGTCCTATGATAATTGCAAAGTGATGGTAACAGATTTTGTATTATTAGATGTTGAGAGTGATTCTTTTGTTTAATAAAAAAAAATGTGTTTGAAATTATGACATTGAAAACTCAACAAGTACCGTCAGTAATTGTCAATCACAACTTTTTTTTTTAAAGAATATCGAACAAGTAAAAGTGAATGAATTTTTAAAATAAATTTAATTATATTATTTAATTCGAAGAATAACTCTAAATCATTTGCTTTTCAAAGAATTGTATAAAAAAATTGTACCTAACACTTCTGCCTCATAAAATTCCATCTAAAACACTCGTTGGAAATAAAAGTACGTTGAATTCATATGATTTTTGGTTAAATAAACTGTATCCATTGAATAAAATATCATTTCAATCAAATGAGGATATTCTAATAAAATAATTACTTCAATAATGCACCTTTTTAAGGTAGATATTCCATGAAGTAAAGTGAAATGTTTTGTTCAATGGACTTGTTTTACACATGGCTACACATAATTATAAGTAGAAGCTAATCAATATGAGTTATGGTAATTGTTCTATTTTTAATCAGAAATTTCAGATTTAAGCAAGTATGATTGGGTGTTTGGACACTCATTAACTGAGTTAATAACTTTGGTGGTCATCAATTATTTTCACAGAAAGTCACTTAACTTTCATTTTCAACTCAAAAACTCAACTATAATTTCTTTACACAAAAAGTCACTCAACTTTCATTTTCAACACAAAAGTCACTCAACTTTCATTTTCAACACAAAAGTCACTCAACTATGACTTCTTTGCATATAAAGTCACTCAACCTATTTAATTATTTTTTCATTAAAATTTAGCAACATGAAACTTTAATTATTAACTAAAATTTTAAGAATCAAATATATATATCGATTTAAAGCATTTAATGACCCGACCATTTAATTTGATTCTAAAAATTTTGGTTAATAATTAAAATTTCATGTCACTTAATTTTAAGAAAAAACAATTAAATAGGTTGAGTGACTTTGTGTGCAAAGAAGTCATACTTGAGTGACTTTTGAGTTGAAAATGAAAGTTGAGTGACTTTCTGTGCAAAGAAATTATAGTTGAGTGACTTTTGAGTTGAAAATGAAAATTGAGTGATTTTCTATGAAAATAATTGATAGTTGAGTGACCATCAAAAGTATTAACTCCTCGTTAACTTTTGTTAGGGACATTTAACAAAGGATCATACATTTTAGGCATTTGATAAAATTAACATAGAGCAACACTCGATGAACAAATGATGTGATTGACCCATTGACTCTTTTAGCAGTGTTGTTGAATTAGTGCTCGAATCTCATTGTTGACATAGTCTTTTTTTATATTTTTTACTCTGCTACTTTCAGAGCACCCACAACCTTAAAAATTAAAATTATAAATCCGCCACTGAATTTAATCCTAAAGCACTACAATACGAATCATGCAGTACATTATCTAAATTAAGTCGAAGCTCTTAACACAGACTTCGAACATCGAATAAAATTAAAAAAAAAGTAACAATTAATTTGATGAGGAGGAAAATCACGACTTGTCACAAATCGGTGTACGTCCCCAACTCGTACATGTGACACAATTTGATTATGAAGTTTTATCTTCGTTTGATAAGTGATGGTCTGATTAAATTTTTTATGATAAATCAAATATTTGAACATACATTTTTAAAATTTATAATTAAGTACTAATTAGGTGATATATCAAAGTTATCCTGAAAATGTTTAATGTGTGCTAATTATATTATGTCAAAAACTTGTTTCATCACGTCACTCGACTCTCGTAAAAATGTTTAAAATGTTTGCTAATCATGTTAGGTCAAAACTTGTATCATCATGTTACTCTGTCGATTCAAATTATTATGAAAATGCATAAAACGTTTGCAAATCATGGTAGGTTAAAAACTTGCTCACTCTACATTAGATTGATAAAATGGGACCTTGAGGTTATCACAATCGTATAATACACAAATACGATTCTTAACATGACATCAGTTATCAATTATGATATTTAACTTTTTATTTGCATAAGTAGACATTTAAATTTGTATAAAATTGAGCAAATGAATATATTCGTCTTACATGACAATTTTATCTCCTATATGGCATCCTACGTGTGTT